ATAGGTTAAATACCTTATTTGCTATATTATGCACTAGCGTACTTTAGAAATGCCTTATATGTGCTAAATGATATGTATAGACGACCTTAGGTTTTCACCTAGATTGCTAAGTACTGGAAAAGCTAAGTTCTGTTGTCGACCTAGTATTAGGAAATTTCATTTGTCCAGATTTCTAAGCATTTAATTACTGTATTAGAAATAGCATATATATCTTTTCAGAGTAATAAGGAGGATGTCACGTCTAAATCTTACCTACCAATATTTTTGTCTTGGTATGCTAAACTCTTGCTTGGGTATATAGAACGTCATGACGATAACAAGGAGCGGTATAATCCTCAATAACGAAGGAAATCCAGTACCTCAAAATGTCGGAGTAGCTGATTTTCAAATCTCTATGAATGAAGATCGAGCAATGATGCAAAAAATGCTCAATCAACTACAACGTGTGTTTAAGGAGCTCTTAGCTCAAGGACTAGCTAATGCTAGAAGAGGAGCACATGTGAACAATGAGCTAGTAGTTGTTGAACAAGCCAACAATGGACCGATTCTTGCACATACCACGATGATCCAGGAAGGAAGTAATTATGACTCGGAAAGTTATCAAGGACTGGAGCAACTAGAAGTCTAGAGAAATTACGAACCCAGAGCCTACTGCAAGTATATGGATTTCATAACATGTAATCCATCATCATTTTTAATGGGAAGGAAGATCCCATAGGTGTCATGGATTGGATATCGGAGATTGAGTTGGCCTTCATAACATATGGATGCACGGGTAAGCTACAAACCACCTATGTTGTAACGTAGTTCAAAGGCACAACACTTTGTTAGTGGAACATGTTAGGGAAGATTGTGAGCCCTAACAAGCCACTATAGCTGAAATGGGATGAATTCTTCACCCATTTCAGGAGGAAGTTCTGTTAAGATGAGAAAATGTTGGAATTGGAGAATCAAATCCTGTCTTTGACAAAAGGAAGCAAGTCAGTGGATGCGTACATCAACGCCTTCACTAATAAAATGCAGTTTTCCCTACAACTTGTTCCGGGCAAATTAACAAAAATAGATAAGTATGCCAAGGGGCTACCTTGGGAGTTCATTGTGCCGGTTTGGCAAGCACATACATTTGAGGCTGCCGTTTGGGCTACAAAGTCTGTCTAAAGGATGATGAAGAAAAGGATAACCGACAAAGCCGAAGTTGGTGAGAAGAGGAGAGGTGAAGGAAGAAACAACAACAACAGAAAGAAGAAGAAGTATTCAAAGTCAAGCAACGAGTCTGGAAGCAACCAGGAAGGGAAGTGGTGTGACAAGTGCAATAAGAGGCATTTTGGCGACTATGTCGTCTGCTACAAATGCAAGAAGTCAAAGCATATCTCTACAACCTGTCCAGTAAAAAGAAAAGCATGCTTCACTTGCAGAGAAGAAGGGCACATGAAGATGGAGTTCCCATAAGCTGAGAAGAAAACCCCAAGGATCCTACCAGCAAATCCCAAGGGAAGAAGCTACCAAATGTGTCAGGTCACACCTTATGATCTGATGACTCAAACACTCTACACATCTGTCAGCGTCGGTATGTACTCTATAACTAGAGCCAACGTATCAAGCTTATCAGTGTCAATGCATAATATAGTTATTCTATTGTAGTCTTTTGTATAAGAGGTAATGATATAGATAAGTATAAAATAGATCACAGATCCGGTATCTTTGTGATAAGATCGTTTCTTATTATAGATAAGATTCAAACCCTTAAATCATGGGATTGATATGTATAGATTAGTATATATACAACATTAGGGAAAACCCTAATGTATGGAACACGGCATGGTGTCTTAATCGTATTTGTGACAACTCGTCTTGTTGATGAAGACAAAACTCTTTCTGTGTGAAAGAACAATTTGGAGAACTTCATGTGTTATTTACTTTCTATTCTTTATTTTTCTTATGTTAGTTTACGTTTGTTTTTAATACTTGAAGTGTATTCGATCTAGATAAACCTTCAATTGGTATCAGAGTATGTTTGTGATACACTCAAGTAATCATGTCGAATCCTTAATCCTTTAGTCTCAACAAAATTCCTCCCTTTGATGAACACAATTCCGCTATATGGAAGACGAACGAAATGGTTGTTCTTGAAACCATTGACTATGAGATGAGAAATATTGTTGGAAAAGGTCCCCATGTTCCTATGTACCAAACCATGCCCAACAATGCTCCTATTGGCCTCTGGAAGCAAAAGCTAGAGACGAGTTATGATGACGATGACAAGAAACTGCTTAGTCTTGATGTAAAATCCAAGGCTGCTATTGGAAACTCTCCTCCATACCATGTGTATCATCTCGTACAGAATTGTGAATCAGCCCAAGAGATGATGGACACACAAAAAATGGCTTACGAAGGCACTGTGGAATTTTAGGCCACAACCATCAACAATATCTATCGGAGATACACTACTACAAAAACACCCTTTAACGGCACACAATTTACAACACGCATTGCTTTATGTTACGCAAAAGACAGTGACCTTAAAATAGTGTCATCTCTTCTAAAAATTTTAGGATTTAGGTCACACATTATTGCGTGCCCTTAAATTAGTGTCTCAAGAAAAAAAATTAAAAACACGGAGGGCGCTTTATCTTAAACGCGCGTCCTCTATAACTATCGCCTTATAATTTTAATGAAACGCGTGCATATCTTGTTACAAAAATTGAGTTAATATCCTAGGGATTTTCAAACAAAAATCAAAACACTCACTGACCAGTCACTACACTCTCTACAATCGATCAGCTCTGGGACCTCACCTCACCTCGCCTCGCCTTGTCGACAACATCTCCTCCGACGGCGTGATGTTACTTCTCATCGGGCTGACTTCGCCTCACCGACGACCTTGGGCTCACCTATCATCATTGGAGACTGCTCAAATTTACGTGCGCTAGGTCCGATTAAGGTATTGGAGAAGTCACTTGTTGAGCTTGCTGTTCCTATTGAAACGATTCAGGCAAAGTCAACTTCCCCATTTGGCCATAGAACCAAGTAACACAAGAGAAAGAGCAGAAGAATGTCGACACAAGGGGAAGAAGCGCCTGGTAGCCATGAATCCGATGCTAAATTGAACACATTCAAGGGTTTCTCACCTTCTGAAGCTTCTCAAGTTGAACACAAGGTAAAATTTCAAGAAAACCAGATCTTTGTGTTATTCAAACATATGCTCTTAGTTGGGTTTTCTCCTCATGTATATGCTTGCACTTAGTAGGGTTTTCTCCTCTGATTGTCGATTATAGAAGCTCTTTTCATGGTTTCGTCTTGTGTAAACTTCCATGGGAGGTGCATGAACTCAGTGTCTATAAAAACGAAATGATCCAATAAATTAAAAAAGAATCTAACTGGTATCAGATGACAGTTATGTATAATAACAAATGGAAGGGGTAAAATTGTAAATTATATGACCTGAGTCTCCATGGGGAGGTTTTCTGCTATATACCTTTTGATTCAACAGTTGACTACAGATTAAGAGTTTATGTGCGCAGTAATTTTGTTGTATGTTTTGGTGCCTTAATCTATCCTTTGGGCAAAACAAAATAGTTATTTAGCTGCCTTAAGCTATCGTTTGAGTTAGTAAAAAGATATGTATGATACAATATTAATGCATTTTATGATTTCTTTTCCTACATGGTTATAGTTTTCTTATTATTGACATTTTGGTTATAAAATGAACACGATTTATTTCAGTTTTTATACACATATAGTACTTGAAGTCTATGGTTAATATTCTAATAAAATTTTACCTAGTTTTTCAATAGACATGGAAATGAAAACACCTTGTTACATTCACACACTGCTTGGAAAGTTTTTTTGGTATGATGGAATTCTTTATAATTATGTGAGAATTCCTTGGCTAAAAGTTCGTCTCTTTGGCGAACACGCTCCACATCTTGTTGGTGTTCAGCATTGAGTGCTTTTAGCTGATTTAGGATTTCTTTATTCTTCTCAACAACCTGAAAAAAGTACAATGTTACTATTATGATATTTTGGAAAATGGTTGTTCATTATTTTTAATGAGCTCAAAGGCTTACTTGTTCAGATCTTTGTACTTTTGCACTTGTTTCAACAAAGGCACGATGCAAAACAGGAAGTTGAGGATCACCTACAACCTTCTCTGTTTCTTTTAGAAGCTTCATTGGAGATAGCTTAGCAAATTCACAAAACCTATCTTGTGGTAAAAACTGATAATCCCAAACACAAATAAAAAAACAATAATATTAAGTAAAACAAGCTTAAAGATGTCATACTTTTATCTCAGACTACTAGTTTCTGAGACAAAACTATTAGAATTGAAACTCAAACACTAAAGAGAAACTTTAGAAAAATCACTTGAGTAAGATTGATGACTTGAAAAGCTTAAAGATGTCATAGTTTTAGGTATCTCACAATTCTTTGGTTATGTTTGGTATGAAGGAATCGGAATGGTTTATTCCGTTATAATTAAGAAAAAGTGTTTGCTTTGTTTGATGGAATGGAATGGACCATTTGTGAAGGAATCTGATTCCATTCATTTTGTTGATAATGAATCATTAGCGAGGTGTGGTTTTTTTAAATCTACTGTGGAATGGAATGAAATATTCTAATATAATCTATTTTTCTTTATAAAAGTTTATAAGGTTGTAGATTATTTTAAAATTTTCTTGATTTTAATTAAATTATAATTTTATTTATGTAAAGTTTTTATATTCTACAATTCAGCTGAAGCTGGATATTGTTAACCTTTTAATTTAAAGTTAATTTATTTGGGTTCTCCTGTTTGTGTAGCTTCTGGTAAGAAAGATGTTCCTGCTGCTGCAGCCTCCAAGGGTGATAAATCAAAGGTTTCTGCTTTAAATTACACCGATATTCCACATACTAAGATAAGAAAAATATATTACTATTATTTATCATACATATTGATATACCCTTATCAAAACAACTTTAACCATGCCACTGCTACCTCATCTCTTTAGTTTTTGTATCAAGATAAATAAACAAAACAAATCAATTTCTTTTAAAAAATCCGAAACGAATTGATCATGTAACCTTAACAGGTCACTGCTTCATGCTTGTTGCTTGCAAAGAAAACTATTCCTCATTATTATCTCACCATAGATAGATAGGTTGGCACAAAAATACGACACATTATATATTATTATTGGAAATGTGAAGAATTAATTTCTACATATAGAAGACAATTAGTAGCTTTACATTATTACAATATTTTTTTTTCTAAATTTTGCATTATTTAAACCTAAGATTTTTTAGTGTTCTTCTGATTTTATTTTTTGAGGGTTGACATATCTAGGGACATTTCATAATTAGTTTATACATACTAAAACACCAACTGCCTATTCGGACAAAAATTGCAATTTTTTGTCTCATCTAAAAAGGTGCGACATATAGATGCTTTTGATCTACTCCATCATCTTTATGCAAAAAACATAAATGCCCTTCTCATCCTAGTCATAAAAGAAACACCCTAGAAATCTTGTTAGGAAAAATAGAAAACCTTCTCATGCTAGACATAAATTTTTTGCAAAAGACATAAATGCCCTTCTCATCCATTTTTCTTTTCATTTCCAATTCACCATTTCTTTATTCAAAAAGAAAGCCACAAATGCCAAAATTCAGTATTTATGTCATTGCACGTCTTTTTCTTTCAAGAAAACTAACAACTCTCATAAAAAAAGAATTGCTAACAAATCCACTAATGAGTTAAAACACAGTAACCAACTTGTTCTGAGCTGCAATAAAAAAATATCATTTTTGAACCTTTTGGCAACATTTATATTAGATAACAAGCCCTTTTTGTTTTTACCTTTTAACCTTTTGGCAACATGTAACAAGATGCTTCTTTTTCAGGTTGAAGAGAACAAAGTGGTGGCTTCTGCACAGTTGGATCCTCCCTAACTTCCTTACCTGAATGAACTGTAGCTAAGGTAATAACTTCCATTCTTTTCACTGATTTTTTTCATACTTCTGTTTCTTGTTTCCTGCTTTTAGCCCTTGCCATGAAAAAATGTTAAATGAACAAACCATGAGTCTATGTGTAGTTTTTTTTTGTCCCTATACAGATTTGGCCCCTGTACAAGTTTGTTTTTGCACAGTTTTGGTCCCTGCATCAGTTTTGTCCCTGTATATTTTTGATCCCTACATCAGTTTTGGCCCCTGTATAGTTTTTTTTGTCCCTGTACAGTTTTGGCCCCTGTACAGTTTTGTTTTTGCATAGTTTTGGTCCCTGCATCAATTTTATCCCTATATATTTTTAGTATCTGCATCAGTTTTTGCCCCTGTATAGTTTTTTTGTCCATGTACAATTTTGGCCCCTGTACAGTTTTGTTTTTGCACAGTTTTTGTCCCTATACATATGTAATCATTGTTTTTTTAAATGGTAAATAATTATGTAGTTTGGTAACAAATGTTTAATGGATAAATCATGGATTACCTCTACTAGATTATCAAATGCATATGATGAAGGTGTGAATGCTTTTCTAGAGTTTGCACAAAGTAATAATCGAAAGTTAGATGTTATTCCATGCCCTTGTGTAAATTGTATCAATTTGTGTCACCACTCGATTGACAATGTCTGTTATCATTTGTTTGCCCACGGCTTCGATGAAAATTATAAGATTTGGTCTTTCCATGGAGAAAAACAACCCAAGATTGATTCTAGATGCCCTAACAATTCCTTTCCTCTTGATTCTATTTATATAAAGGATATGCTACATGATGCCTTCAAATATTTAGGCAAAGAACCTGATTCATTGAAATCACTTCTTGAAGAATGTGATAAAGCACTTTATGTAGGGTCAAAGTATAATTCACTTAGTGGATTATTGAAATTCCAACATTTGAAGGGTCAATTTGGCTGGTTTGATGCTAGTTTTTATGCTTTCTTGTGTGTCCTAAAAGATATCTTACCATCAAAAAATACCATCCCTAGCTCGATATATGAGTCCAAGATGTTGCTAAAAGGAGTAGGTCTACAATATGAAAAGATTCATGCATGTGAAAATGATTGTGTTCTATTTTGGAAAGAACATAATGATGCTTCTCAATGTCCAACTTGTGGCACATCTCGTTGGAAGAAGAATACAAAAAACATACCTTCAAAAATTTTGTGGTATTTTCCTATCAACCCTAGATTTAGAAGAATGTTTTCTATACCACAAATTGAACATGACTTAACTTGACATGCACAAGGTCGGGTCAATAATAGGAAGCTTACTGATCCCCGCGATACCCCTTCTTGGAAGCTTGTTGATAACACGTGGAAAGAATTCAGACAAGAAAAACAAAATCTTAGATTAGCCTTGTCTGCTGATGGTATCAATCCTCACAAGTCATTAAGTTCCAAGCATAGTTGTTGGTCGGTTATCCTAATAACATATAATCTACCCCCTTATTTGTGTATGTCAAGAAAATTCATGATGTTGACTCTGTTGATATCAGGGACAAACCAACCTGGTAACAATATTGATGTCTACTTGGCACCATTGATAGAAGATCTAAAACTCTTGTGGGAAACTGACGTTGAGACTTTGGATTCTTATAAGAAAGAATACTTTAATCTAAGAGCAATATTATTGTGGACTATAAGTGACTTTCCCGCATATGGTAATCTTTTGGGGTATGTTACCAAAGGTTATTATACTTGTCCAATATGTTCAAAGAATACCTGTTCACAGTGGTTACCAAAGTACAAAAAAGTATGATTCCTTGGGCATAGAATATTCCTCCCACTTGAACATCCTTTTCGTAAAAGAAAAAAACATTTTAACAATCAACCGGAGCACGATTTTATGCAACAACCATCATCAGGTGAAGATATTTATGACTATCTGGCGGGATTTGAGAGTACATGGGGTAAGAAGATAAAGTCAAAGAAGGAAACACCAAAGAAGGAAAAGTCAAAGTAGAAAAAAGAATGTATCGATGAGAGATCTAAATTTTGGCATAAAAAGTCAATTTTTTTTATCTTGAATAATTGAAGAAGTTGCATGTTCGTCATCAGTTAGATATCACGCACATAGAAAAAAATGTGACCGAGAGTGTTTATGGGACAAGGTTGAATTTTCCTCACAAGACGAAGGATGAATTAAAAGAACGAAAAGATCTTGAAGCGTTGGGCATTAAGCCTGAATTACAACCTCAACCAGAAGGGGATCGACATTGGCTTCCGCCTACGTGCTACACATTGAATTCCGCAGAGAAACATCTATTTTATGATACCCTGTCTAATATAAAAGTACCTCATGGGTATTGCTCTAATTTCAAGAATATCGTGTCGGATGATGTTTCAAAGATGAATGGTTTGAAGTCTAATGATTGCCATGTATTAATACAACAACTTCTCCCTTTTGCAATCAAAGGGGTGTTAGACATGAAGGTGCGGAGAACAATCCTAAGTTTGTGTCATTTTTTCAATGAGTTATGTAGTAAAGATGTTGATGTTAGTAAGCTAGGCAAGTTGCAAAGTGACATCGTATTAACATTATGTTTGTTAGAGAAGTACTTTCCTCCTTCATTTTTCGATGTCATGATTCACTTGATGGTGCATTTTGTTAGAGAGGTGAGGATGTGTGGCCCGATTCATTTTACGTTGATATATCCATTTCAGAGTTACAAAAAAACACTTAAAGGGTATGCAAGAAATCATCATCGACCCGAGCACTGCATTGCAGAGTATTATGTGGCAGATGAGGCCTTAGAATTTTGTTCAGACTACTCAAAAAACATGAAATCAATTGGAAATCCTTGTGAACGTGTTGTTGAAATAATCCACAATGGAAAGCCTTTACCAAAGGCTACAATCGATGTTGTAGATGCTAAGTTACTTGATCAAGATCATCTTTATGTATTACGAAACACTGTTGTTATAGAGCCATATATAGAGTAAGAATTACATGAAACTGTATACTCTTTCACCATTATCTATCATATAAAACATTCTTCTAAATTCTAATACGCTTCAGGCAACATATGTTTGGAATTGAAGGATCTCAACCCCCATGACTCTCGCAAGAGTACATGGTTGCGGAGCCAATATAGTCAGACATTTATTAGTTGGTTTAAGAAAGAGGTTTATTTTTAAAATAAGCTTGTTAGAATTACAATATTTTCAATTATTTTGTTTGAATTACATTAATTAGACATATTTCTAATAGGTTGAAAAACGTTTAGCTAATAGGGAAGATATTTGTGACGATGTTCTTTGGCTGGCCAAAGGGCTGCAGAAATTGGTCCCATTTTTTTTCTAACATTTGTCCCAATTTTTTGATAGGATGAGCTGCAGAAATTGGGAAGTTTTGGAGAGGTTACATGTGGAACACATGATGTGCTTACCGAGGCCTTGGGTACTGAGGAACAACGTGGACGTGTATGGCGGATGGGTAAATTTCTAACACCACAACAATACTTTTATTTACCCAAGAATGTTAAGTATTACTTGGAGATTGAGAACGAGAGTGTAACATCCCGAGTCCAGGTATACCTTGTGAACCTTGATCTTTTGAGCTATTGTCTATTTTGGCCCTTATTATAAAAAGGGTGAAAAACGAGTACGCGGGGCGTACCTGAGGTGTACGCTTAGCGCACTCGTCAGCGTGCAAGTGACGCAGAGACCACCTAGTACGCTGGGCGTACTAGGCGCAGAGTGAAAACCCTAATTTAGGGTGAGTTCCCTATATAAAGGATATGATGGCCTCATTTCTGGCCACCATTCTCAGACAACAAACCCTAAGAGTGCCCTAACCCTCGTTTTAGACCTTGAGTGTGTATTTATGAGCCTTTGAGAGTTCTTGTGTGTTCTTGAAGAGGAGAGAAAGCCTTGAAGAAGAAGGAGTTGGATTCCAAGCTTCTAGATCCGAGCATATCTGAGTTTGGAGCTTCTTATTGAGGTAAAAAGCTTCAAACTTTACCTCTCTTTTGATATGAACATCTTAATGGAGTATTTTAGGGTTTTGTCCCAAAAGGTGGAGACTTGATGAGATCTTGAACTCCAGAGACTAGGACCAACCCCTTTTGAGCATATGAGTGGTGTAATGTCATAAAAATCAAATAATCACTCCATGCATGAGTTATGAGCTCCTTGAGACAAAAGTGTGTATATTTTGAGAGTTGGTGACCATTTCAGCCATGCAAAGGCTTAAAGTCACTGACTTTATGGGTTAAGAGCTATTAGAGAGTCTGGATCTATGATATGAGCCAAGGTCTTAACCGTTTATGACCAAATGAGTGAGAAAGAGGAAACTGGAGAGTACGATGGGCGTAAATCCAGTACGCGCGACGTAGGGGTCGCGCATCCCCGATGCCCGCATGGCAGCCGAGTACGCACAACGTAGAGATCGAGTACGTGCAGCGTACTCCCTGCCGTGGACTTTTGTTGACTTTTAGGGTTTAGTCAAATTGTGGACTATTAAGCCTATGGAGGGGTAAAATGGTCTTTTACCCTTCTGTGAGTTTGTAGAAGGGTTAGTTTAGCTTCTTGAGGGCCATTATTAATTAGGGATAATTAATATATATGTTAGGCGGAGGCTAGACCGATGGTTAGAGTTCGAGATTTCCGAGTACGAGGTTTTCACTTACTAGCTTACGAGGTGAGTCTTCTCACTATACTTACCTTGAGTGGTACTTATGTGTGACCAGAGGGTCTTATGTGTATGAGCTGTGTTTTGAGATATCCTGCTATTTTCTTTGAGATATGCATACTGTGTATTATATTGAGTTGCTGAGTTGAGGGACCAGTGGGTCCAATTGAGTTGTGGGACTGGAGGGTCCCACTGAGATACATTGACCGGAGGATCTTATTGAGTTATAGCCACTAGTACAATAATGACCTACGGTCACACTTTCTGAAAAACGGCCTGTGACACTTTTTCTTAAAAGTGTGGCCAAAGGTCACTAAAAAAATTTAGAGATTGTTTTTGGATACATTTAAATTATTTTGTGTGG